TCCCCTGGGACATTGAAGTTCAGCGTCACCGTGCAGCACACGCCACCTTCCAGGACCATCTGAAACGTACAGAAGTCGTCACTGGTGATCTGCCGTATCCCCTTGATGTGGTCCGTCTGCTTCACAAAGGTCTTGAGCAACCCGTGCACTTTCACGGCCTTCTGGCTGGTGAGGAAGGTCAGGAGGTCGATGATGTAGGTGCCAACTGAGTGCAAACCCCCACCTCCCATCAGGTCATCACAGCTCCAGTTGTACTTCTTGCCTAGCAGGCTTCCGCTGTGAACCTGCACCTCACACACCAGCAACTCCCCTACGTAACCCTCTTGGATCAGCTGCTTCATCTTCACGAAAGCTGGCAGGAAGCGCAAAACGTTCCCCATGATGCTCATGAGCTTTGGGTAATAATGAGCTGCGGTCATCATCCTAAAGGCATCCAGGGGAGTCGCCGTTCGGTCACAGATGACATTTTTTCCAATGCCTGAAAAACAGTTTAAAAAGAAAAATCATCAACAAAAATGTATCGATTGAGTAAGCTCAAAGCCTCGAGGCTATTCTTAAAGACTATGCCAAGGATAAAGATCCTTGAAAGAAGAAAACATTTCAATACAATGTTAAAGGCAGAAAGATCCCCTCTGGCATGTTTCCAAAATGCATGTAACAGTTTCTCAAGCACCACAGTGAAAATGCATCCCCTTTTATTTTCAAAACGCACTCATGCCTAAAAATAGCAAGAAGGTGAGGGCCTGGACAGATAAGAAAGTAAGCTAAGGTAAGCTGGACTGCTACCCCACATTTGCCACCTTCTGGGGGCAGGTACAAAAACAACCACCCCAACTCGGCTGTCTCACCGACGTCTCTTCTGTGATAACCTGCCTGCGTGTGGGCTTCTGAGAGCTGAATCTGAGCTTCAGATTCAAATCCCTGACACGTATGAGTAACAGCACCTCACGTCCACAGTAACTTGATGTATGTACACTGAAAAGTCTGGGCTTGTCTTCTCAATGGTCTTGTTCCTTCATCCTTCCCGTTCAGACTGTTTAAGAGGCTCTGACTGGAGACAGGGAGAAGTACTGGGCTTGTTGCTTGATTTAAAATGTAGGAATTGCTTCTCACTCATAAAATGCCACGCCATTCTGACAAAGGCACTCATTTTTTTGAAGCAGCTCTGCTGAAATGTCAACAGTGCATCCACAGTGCCAAGGGCAAGCTACAATTGCTCTAAAACAGGTCAAACGTAGCTGTGACAATCTGTTTCCTCACAGAATTGCCCATATGGGCACGCTGTTTACTGAAGCTTGCATGACGGTCCTGTTTCATCTGGCCATCAAGGTGTGCAGCTGAATGCAGTGCAGGCTGAGATGCCCGAATAATGGTTTTATTATTGATTTCTCCTCGTCAAATACTTTCGTTCTGTACCCATCCACACATATAGTGACAGAGTCTCCAGTTTCCTTTATAGTTGCATACAAAGATTTTTTTAATGCTTAATGAGCAATATTAGGTGAGCTATACAACACCTTATAGCATTAAATATGATCTTTGCCTTGAGAGCCTGGGGCTATAGCTGGGCCTGGCACTTAAAAGAGCTGAATTTAGATCCTGTCTGCTGGAGTCCAGATGAATAAATCTGGTTACTCACTAAATCTCTGTGTTTTGATTCCTCTTCCCTTCAGATAGGTGAGAAATCCCTTTTACTTTAAAAGGCTGGTATGAGGATAAAATTTTATATGTTTGGGGGCTGTTTGGATGAAGTCATATAAATACAGACAGATGGCAGGGATCTGTCTGAGCCCACTTACATGAATATTTAACAGCCTGACTGGAAGAAGGGGGTCACAGTCCAAACATTCAATAACCAGCTTATCCACACTGCCTATTCCCAGTCTTTGTCTGCTGCTATTTGAGTAACTGAAACTGGAGGGGCAGTCACATCCAGTAACAGCCAAGAAGGGAAAGATCTTCCTTCAACTTGCTCCCATTTACCTTCTACTTAATTGGATAAGTAGAGACATACTCATTTTCCTCTTATATTAGGCAGGAATCCTCTATTCAGTGGCCATGGTCTTCCTTTCTCACTTTCCTCTCTCATCTTTACAGCCTGCTACTGGTGACTGAGTTGACATTTTCAATCTTATAGCACTTCTTTTCCTGCTCCTGAATAATTTTTTTCTGCATCTGTTTGATATTGGAGAAAGCATTCATCCACCTACCCTATATTCCTCTAACTGGTAGCTCCGGCTATGCCATTTGATACAGATCATTAATATAACAGTCCTTGAGTTACACAGACTCTTTGCAGAGAGGTTTTAGTCTGGCAAATTAGTTATCAAAATAAGGGAAATCTTTGTCAGACAAAACTTGCCTACAGTCAAATCTTCCTGAAATAGTAATTTCCCCCCCAAAGAACCCATACATACTACGTCATCATCTGACCTGTTCATCACTGATCCACAAGCATCACTTTCTGCTCCAGTTCAGCTTGTATCGTTCTGCCTCATAGATGCCTGTCACACATTATCTGGGGTCTGTGCAGGCACTAATCTCTCAAGATACACAGCTTTACACATGTGCTTGTGAGGAAAAGGGTCTGCTTTCATTAGGAATTGAAGCCTGGGGACAATCTTCTTCTGTGTGTTCACTGCCGTGCACAGTGGGGGTCAGTCCCTTCACTGTGTGGGGCAGGGAACACTCGGACTGTCACAATCCGAGTACCAAATGATGATTATAAATACGAAAGAGAAGCCTATGGGTTTTTACATCCCTTATATTCAAGAAGAATTGCCATTAGAATCAGTGTAAGTCAGGCACACGTGTAGAGAAAAGGGAAGAGCCCTAAATATTTGTATGGAGATGGGGAAAAAGTGGAGTCTTATATTTACTCCTTCTACCATTTCAACCTTTTTGGAAAGGTTGAAACCTTTTAATTACGGCAAATCCAAAATGTAAATGTTTCGAGAGCCTTCCCGTCTCTGTGCATATGCTGATAATACATGCTGTGCTCTCATCCCTGTCAGGGATTTAAACAGATTCTTGTTTGGTGCCCAGAAAGCTTTTATACTCTATTAAAGCTCGTGCAGATTCTTTCAGCGTGACACTGCTCAGCACTTGAGCCTGTGCACACTACAGATCTTTGTCTTCTCTGTAGCTGCAAATCTGCAAGCAGCCACATTAGCTTTCTTGAAGCAGGGAGAGAACATGAAAGGTTTGCTTAATTTAATTTAGAGAAATCCTCTGGTGTGTTTATGCAACTAGAATAAGAAATAGGCGGATCAAAACACCATCGTTTTCTCCTCCCCTCCCTCTGCTCTCTTCTCAAAAGGAGAAGGAAAAAAGGCACCTTCCTTCTGAGCCATTCTCTAAAGCGGCAACAGGCAGAGCAGAGGGCAGCGTGCAAGGCAAAACCTCCCTTCCCAATACTGACAGTCTCGTGCAAAGGCGTGCTCTGACTGCAGGTGCTGCAGGGGGATTCTCTGGCAACTGACCCCTTCTCCTGGCCCAGGGTTAGGGTCTAATCCTGTCAACTTTCAGACAAGACTCTCTAAAAAAGATCAACTGTTACCGCTTGTCATTCTATCAGTGTGTTTTGCCATTTCACACATCTTTGAAAATCACACCACAGCAAAGAGCAAGAACTTATTAATTACATAAAAGCAAGGAAGTGCCGTCAGCTTGTTTCAGCAAGAAAGTGCAATATATTTGTCTGTGGTGATAAGCAACAGAGTCGAATAGATCTCATTGTATGAAAGGATACACACCCCTTCCACACGCATCACGAAATCTAGTCTACGATGCTACAGTTCTCAATCAGGCAACTTCTGAGTATTGATTTATTGCTTTCTTAGGTAAAAAGAAGAAGAAACATAATTTCAGTACACGTCACTCTTTTTGAAGGCTCTGCACAGCCTTCACCCCAGTCTCTCTGCTTGGCTGTGCTTCAAAATGAGGGACAGAGCGGTGCCAGACAGGTGGAAAGTGACATGACGTGGGATTTCTCTGATGTGGCACGGAATAGGGGAGGGCTCGCTCCCGGCCAGCCCAAGGCCAAAGCTGAAGTCGGGCAACGCATCTCCTAGCAAAGCTCCCGGGAGTGCAGGTTGACTCTCTGAAGTCCACCCACAGCTGCTGTGCAGGGCTTCAGCCTCAGACCTGTTCCAGGACCCACTGCTCCAGGCACAGACGGCCAGAAACACAAAGAACCTGCATTAATGGGCACCGTGTCGTGGTGCCAGTGAGCCACCTGTGCCCACAGGCGTGGGGCCACAAGGTGGCAACCACATTAGGCCCAACAGGTCTGCTTCCCTGAACCCCTCTATCTTCTCCCTCCAGCAGGAAAACAGGAAAAAACAAATAATGGTGGAGCTGGAAGATGTCCATCCATGAGATAGACCCGATCCCTAGGCCAATGACGTAGGTATAATTTGCTCTAGCAGTCCTTAAAAATGTGGATGGACGTGAGTTTGAGCAAAATGACACAAGAGAATTTGACTTCTAGGTTTGGTTGCTAAAGACTGAAAGATGGCAACATCTGACAACTGCTTGGTTCCTCTTTAAAATGAAACGAAGTTTCCAGAGCAGGTCCACATCACAAAACCACTACTAACACTAGTGTCTTCTTGCTTCTCAATGTCTCACAAGGAAAGTTAAGGGCTGAATGGTCCATCTTGACTATTCTTTATCTCCCAGGGTGTATATATCCCCCAAGCCAAACCTCAACAACTTAGATACCAATCTGCATTTATTTTAAGATGATTATTTAAGAACACTGATCTCTGAAGAAGTACATGTCTAACCAACTCTCTAGAAGCAGCTGAGAAAACAGAAAATAATTGTCTATACTATCATTGGTGCTACCATTTGAGTGAAGATTTCTCTAGCACCTTATACTGGAAAGTCAAATTGTAACCATGACCTAATAGCTTGTCACCCACCTCACAGTAATTATTTTTGTCAGGAAATCATGTAATTCATTTGCAAACCTCAGCCTTCATTTTAGAAAGAGGAAGCCCTTGTGATGCGGAGATAATTTTGAAAGCCAAACAGCCCAGAAGTGAGTGGTGAGTAGATACAGTCCAGGCTAGTAGCATTTCTTTTTTTTTTTCCATGTAAATGTGGGGGAAAAGTAAGGAACTACTAGAGTAAGAATTTAACTCCTGATTTTGAAATGCCTGGTGTTTGCAGCTCTTCATTTTACAGAAGGGTCTAGCTCCTTGGCTACCAGCAGCCCAGGTTACTTTGTCCCTGTAACGTCCCTGTGCTGCACAGCCTAAAACAGGGACAGAACTCCTGGGCCTACAGCACAGGGAGGGTACAGCAGCTGTGACTGGCACAGGCTTCATCAGTTCTGAAACCTGCAATGTCAGCTTTTTTCCCATCTGCTCTGATTGTTTCAAATAAGGACAGAAACATTTCACAGAAAAAAAAA